ATTCAATTTGTATGGATTACAAATTACTATTTGTAATCCATACAAATGGTAATTTGTATGGATTACAAACTAATCCATACAAATAGTAGAAGTAGAAGTGAGCCGGTTCCAGTGCTGGATTATTCCAGTAGGAATTTACTGGAAAGAAGTGGGCTGGTTTGAACCGAGTTTGGAGCTTTTGACAGAAAACTGGTTCTCCATTTTATAAGCTGTCTTAAGATTACATTTGTTGTGAACTGGGCATATATAAACTTTACACAAAAAGAAAAACCTGTGGTTATGCCTTTCAGGATTTGCATTGGCCTTGTTTAACCTATGAATGCACAAAGAGCTTCTCATTACAGTGATCAGTTGTGTGAGCAACACGTTCGCTACGTCAGGTCCGATTACCAATAGCTGCTTCCATCTGCCTGAATGAATCCAAGCAAGCAACAAAAATATATCTGGAGCCATGAAAATTTTCTTTACAGGTCAGAAGGGAAAAAAAACTGCAAACAAAACAGTCTTATGCAGGTGACAGAAAAGAAAAAAAAAATCAAGCTGATATAATCTTGCTATATTTTAGTACTTGAGTACCTACTGGCACCATAAAAAATATTTAGCATGCTAAAAGAAAAACTTGAAGACTAAACCGGTCCCTTATTCTCTAAAGTCTCAAAGAGTCTTTATGGTCTTTATCACTAAAGACCATTCAGGCTTTGATGGAAGTAAAATGACTGGTCTCTACTGCCAGCAGTGAAACGTATTTAGAATCCATTTAACGAACACCGTTATCCGCTTTCCCCATAGAGGCACTGGAGGACTAGAAGGGTTTCATTTCACTCACAACTGATATCACTTAGATACAGACATTTGGAAAAAGCCTTCAATCACAAGGTAACATTTTAGCACAATCATTACAGTTTTTACAGCTCTGCAAAAAATCTTTTCTTCTAAAAAAATAAATGTTCCAATAGTCAGGTTGTTCACGGATCTGTGGCAAATTCCCCTTCACACATTCTGAACTGTCTGCTCCCAGCATGCCAATCTGTCATGTCCTTGTTCGCATCCTGTCCCTCATAGGATGCCCTGTTCCTACGCTTAAACTGCTTCCTGATTTAGCCCAAACTGGGATTATCGTAAGCAATTAAACACAACATGATGAACGCCAACAATGACACCATAGCTGCAGCAGGAGATCCATAATATATGTGGCACTGCTTTCGTACGCAGCTCGGATCCTTTTAAGGTGAAAAATAAAACACAAACTCTCGGGTTTTAGATCTGCACGGTGTGTGTGCTTAGTTGAAGGTCAGTGCAGGTGGAGTTGGTCATGCGTGGGGTCGTCCTTCGTGGGGCAGTGAGCAGGTCCCGGTAAATGAGTGAAACGGAGGCATTGAGGGCATATCAAATTGCACCCGGTGAGAAGAACGCTCCCATAGGTCATAAATCAGAGACGGGGCAAAATTTCGCGCCTTTCTGCAGCTCAGCAAGCCTGTTTAGATTGACGAAAGTGGCACACAAAGGGCTGCTACTAATGCCCAGCCTGTCACTGACACACAAACAATGTTTGCTCAGTTACTTTAGAAAAAGTCAAAAATCCTCTCACAAAAAATTGGAAATTGTTCTGTTTAACTAGAAATGAACAAAGGAAAAAATAGGCTTAATAAAGATTTAGCAAATTAATATGTATAAAACTGCTCTGTAATTTTACAGCTTTACCTTATGTTTCCTTTATTTTTAATAAATGAATATAGCACTTTATATCATGCTGAAAGCAATGGCAGTGTTGTATTAATTAACTCTAGTGTCTAAAACTAAAGCAATAAATTTCTTCTGACCAAATTCCTTGAAGTAAAACAAATATCAACAGAAGGGGTTCTGTTTTGGATCAGTCTGAAAGGACGACCAAGCAGGAAAACAAAATGTAGACAATAAATTTCAACACAATTTCCTTAGACGACCCAGCAAAATGAGGAGGCCAAGAAAAAACACAAGCAAAGTGTCCGGAAGATAATTCATGATTGCCCATGTGAGCATTTGTCAAGGTTGGTGAGACAAACACCCAATAACTTTTTTACCCCATCTGACTGCTCTTCTACAAAAATAAACAAGACAGAGTGGAAATGGGTGATTACAAAGCCAATATTTTCTCTAAGTAAGTGGTCTGTGGTGAAAAACCACCTGCTACTGATGCAAATCATCCCAGGAATTTAAAAAAACGAATGAAGCGTAATAGAACAACTTTCGAAGTAAAGCAGGCAAATGAGTTCGATAAGAAGCTGTTAGGGTTTGTTTGTGTGTCTAGTCTGTGCATGTGCTTATGGGACTTCCTGTGTGTAAGAGGCTTAAGTGTGCTCACACAAACAAATGTGCAATTCTAGGTAAAAGAACCGGTGTGGTAAGTTTTCTTATGAGCTGGGAGGATAAAGCAATCATTTGTACAGTAACTGAAAACTACATCTTGGCAGCGTTAAAAACCCACAGAACATCTGCTTAGCAACAAAATCCTGCGTATTAGAAATACTGCAGACAAAACAAAAGATTTTTTTACAGGAATACCAGGGGTGAAGGTCTGCATATGTTAACCAAGAGTCTTAAATTGCTTGGGATTTTAAACAGGATGTTGGAGATATTCTGCAATGTTTGATTTCTTCCTCTTCACACTTCATCAGCTCAAACACACTCCCCTCTCCAGACTCGTCTCTATCTGCTCTCGACAGGAAATCATGACTCCTAAAACTCAGACTAATCCCAGAGGAAATCCAAAACCATCGAGGGGCTTCTAATTATTTTTTTCACTCTTATTTTATGTAGCTTTCCATCTTAGAACCATGCCAAAAACTAAAACTACAAGTTGGTTGTTTTCATTGTTCAGCAAAGAATTTGTTATTCACAATTTCCAAGATGTAACATCAACCTGTTAAAATTAAAGAATAAGACAAATGTGTTGCTCAACATTACAGCGCAAAAATATTCAGATTCTTTTCACGCATTACGTTAAAATCACACAACTCTATTAACTTTATGTGACATCTCACAAACTAGTGCAAAAATATTAAGTGTGAAGAAAGTGACCCGTTTTATTTTTTTATATAAATATCAAAAGTAGCAACAAGGTCCTGTGTCCTGGCTTTTTTCTGCATGGAGTTTGAAAGCTGGCCCCCGTAACGGTGTGGGTTTCCTCCAGATTTGTCACTTCTTTGAAAAGTAGCTCTAAATCAGTCAGATCTGACTGAGAGCGAGTCTGTGAACAACTATTGTCATTTCTTTCCACAGATTTCCGACAGGATTTCAGTTCAAACTTTAACTTGGCCATTCCAACACATGAACATACTTTGATCCAAACGAGGGGTTGGTAACTCCGACCAGATTCAGAACCAACTGAGCTACGGGTTTAGGCAGCTCATCCAGAGTTACCATAGGCCTCTTGAATGTGGGACTGAAAACAAATACACCATATTTTCAAAAGCTTAACTGTGAAAAGAAAAAAAAATAACTGTGCATCCCTTTCCTTCCACTGCGTTGGTCTACCACATCAAATCTGAATAAACACACTTAAGTTTTCGGTCGTAACATGAGAAAACTGAAGACATTCAAGGACTCCAAACACTTCTGGAAGTCACTGTATGTGGTAAATTATAAAGCTCTGAAAGAATTCCAGCCTTTGGACCCGTTTTCAGACTCCTGTAGATGCCGGTAGACGGAGTGGAGCTCAGAAGACCTTATCCACGGCTCTCTCAACCGTTGTCAGGTTGTCCCTGTGGGGTCTGCCTGATAACAGTAGCATTGTTGATAACACTAGCCCAGGACTCAGACAACTTTAGACCACGCCAACGCCGTAAGCTGCCTCATTAATCTGCTGGCTACTGGCCTATCACAAGTCGGTCGCCAGCCCAGCGGCACCTAACCAGCTATCACTACTGTCTTACAAGCAATAAGGGGAATAATCAGCCTGCTGTCTACAGGCGGCAGACCCTCCACTTTGTTGTTCAAAAGGAACAGTTCTTCTTAGTCTCTGCTTGCTTTGTTAATAAAAAAAAGTCAGAACAACACTTGTTTTTTATGTTCAAGAAGGATTCTATGTATTTATGTCTTTAGTCAACTAAAAATTTAATACAAATTCAAAACACTAAACTGCTTTTAAATTATTTCCTGGAAGAACCAGAGTTTGTTTCAACATCATTCAGGTGTGTAAACAACCTCAGTCTTCTTGTTGGACTACCAAAGACAGAGCGATTCAGTAATTATCGGAATTAAATCATCTTGATTTTACGTTTAAAGAAGTAACCTTTGAAACCTTCAAAAGTCTTCTGTGGGTTTTCTAAAAGTCCCTTTTCAAGTTTTTCCCATTTTTTAGGCAAGGCGAGCAAAGATAACTGTTTGACAGTCATCAAATATCTCATATGTGTCTATGCATGGTATGCTACACTTTAATTAAGGGTAGACACGATTACCAGTTGGCATTATATAATAAATATAACTGTTGTATTTAATGTATAAATATAATACAATTCGACTACATGATTTGACAGAAATTTTAGCTTTCTTTGTAAAGAGCCTCAAGAAAAAATATTGTTGTGAATTGATGCCAATAAACTGACAGTAATACAAAGTTGTTACTGTAAATAAGATCACAAAGATTTACTGTAAGGTATAACGTTGTTTCTCATTGTAGTTTGATTAAACATTTTAGCTTAATATGTACAATAATTTGTCACACAATTGTCCAAAGAATACCAACTGTAAAAAGTTTGTATTATATCCACAAACCTCAACACTAATCATTGGGGCCACCTGCGGTTGTAATTTTTTTTGCATAATTGCTCGTCTTTGTAAAAAGCTGTTACATGCATTTCCATCAATACTTTCTAAAATAAATAAATAAATTTACAAATATATGTAAAAAAAAAATAAGCCTAAAAGTGACATTATTTTTTTAATGCATGGATAATTAACGGTTTAGGAAGAAAACACTGGTTGGCTTATAAAATGATACACGAGTAGGAATATTTTCTTACCTTGTTCCTCCAAAGAGGACGATTCGATCTCCGACCATACAGCAGCACTGCCGCCTCCGTGGACACGGGCCTTTCCCCTTCGGCTCTACCTTCTTCCACAAGAATTGTTCTGTTGTGTGGAAATTCAAGAAAAAAAAAAATCAAGTGAGCCACAACAATATAAAAGAAGAAGACTTAATAATTCAGTCAGACTCATTTAGATTAAACACAGTAAAAATAAAAAGTAATCTTGGGCACATCAAATGATGATGTGTGAGAGCTACGTCATAGAAATTCTCCATCACTTCTGCTTACATGATCCAATAGTGATTTCTTTACTGCTCTTGCAGTTCATGAGCTTCCTTCATTAAAACAATGCTCACAGTCGAACAGCAATTAAAAAGAGAAAACAATGTCTAATCTTAAACTGAACAATGTACAGTGAGAAGTGTTGTCTCATGTATGTAAGTAATATAGTGCTGTTTCTGTCTGAGAGAGCTACATATTTTCTTCTTGATGTCTTGTTTTTGTATAGAAAAAAAAACACTGCTGGGAAACGAATTAAAGTTTTAAGATCTTGTGCTGATGTCTTGCTTTTATTCACAGAAACGTAATGGATGGATGGAAAACCGAGACAGAATTTCCATCACCCATAAACGACAACCTTCACATTTCAGCTCCTTTCTGCCGCTCTGAATCAGAATGATGATGATGACGTTGAGGCTTCCTTGTTTGCTCCATAAAAGGCTTAAGTGCAGCCTCACAGTCTCATCCTCAATCATCACCACATCTCTATAGCAACCTGCCATTCAAACTTGGGAGCATTATGATTGTAATCGAGGTGCTGCCATCTAGTGGACAGCAAATAGTTTGGATAAATAGCAGAGGTCCGCTTCATTCTGTTCAAATCACTTTAAAGTATTAACTATTCATGGTTTTTATTCTGATAAAAGTCTGAAAATGGCCATTTGTGAAATTTAATTCAGCCCCCTTTACTCTGACACTCCTAAATTAAATCAAGTGAAACCAATTCCCCTCAGAAGTCACTTAATAAACATTAAGTGTGAATATGTGTAATTTAAGACAAAGAAACAAAGCAGACAAGTGAGGAATAAAGAATTTTTAAGCAGTGTTCGAATTGTGAAAATAAGATATATAAAATTCACTTTACACATAATAATTGACAACTCATTTAAGTTTGCAAATCCAAAACAGGGAAGCAACTGAAGATCATTTCTGTAATTGATTATTCAATCAAATATTCTGACAATTAATTGAATAAAAAAAAAAACATTCATATTCTGCAGATTAAACTATATTCTAAATACATTAAAGGATGCAAATAAACAAATAATTCAGTTCCCTTTTTTTTAAACATAATAAACATTTTATTGCCTAAAATGCAATAACAAAGCATTCTATTAGTGAAAGCTTGATTATAGCAAAGCAAAGGATGCATCTGCATCTACTTCTGAAGAACTAATTCCAGCATCAACTATTCGAAAGGGCTGAGAACAGAACCAGAAAAGGCTAATCTGGTGACTATTTTTTTGATTAACCAACTATTAACTGAATAGCAAAAGGTGAAATGCACACCACACTTTTAAGATTTTTTTTTTTTTTTTCAGAAAAATAATTTTAAAATCCTGTAACTTTTTCTTGCAAGTCACTATGCTCTACTTTGCGTCGGTTAAATCACACAAAAAATACCAACAATTTACACCAACACACAAAATGTGAAGACAATCATGTCGGATTCTAACATGATATAGAAAAGTAACTGACAGAATCAGAAAACCACAGGTGTGTTGCTTTAGTTATAACAGCAACGTTTTTGTTGCAACAACGGCACATTTCATTCCCCAAGTGAGAGCAATTAAAGTGAACTGAGAGCTGACATTTGTCAGAGCTCTACAGACTGAGTTATTGTCAGGTTTTCATCTGAGTGCTTCTGGCCCAACATATATGGCATCTGGGTAACACTATGCACAATGAAAAGGGGGCAGCCAGACAACATTGTGAAACTGGCGATGATGTAATAAGGGAGGGAATGATTGTCTGCAGATAAAAGACAAAAAGTAGGACAGTGCAAATAAGCGCAGCAATGGCTGCATTTCCGCTAGACATCAGCAGCAGTGACACATGAAGGAAGAAAAGCTTCCTGGAAAGACAGATCAGCAGCAGACGATAACGCGACACCTTTGCCCAGATAGATTTAAGACGGAAACAAATCACCTGGATTAAACTTCCAAAGGTCGTTGAAGTGCCGGTCCAGGCGGGCATTGTAGCCTCCAAATATGTAGAGCTCTCCGTTGTAGCAGACTGAACACAAATCAACAGTTTTGTGACTCGTCACAAAGATAAACAGTTCAAAGAATATGGCAACATATGAAAGGCTGGTTAGAAATGAACAACCATCAAGTGATTTATTTGGGTCTTTTTTTTGTAAACAGGAAACGACTTCATTGGATTTCCAATTCAAGAAGTTTTTCAATTTATTGTGGATTTTTCTCAAATTCTCACAGGCATGACATCGAACATTCAGGCTAAAACGAATAATTTCCCCTCCACCAATTTTGGGAAAAACTCTGGCTGAGTATTTGGTCACTATTCTTATCAAAGTTAGACAAGTTCATTTTTATTTGTTGGTTTTTCACGTATTTGTGGTGGTGTATGTATATATTTGAGTCTGTATGCCAATGTTTGACTCTGGTTGAATGAGAAAATCCAGAAAAAACAACTTTGTACACCAAATCTTGGTGATTTTAAAAGTTGTTTAACTAATAATCCCACCCTGGAAAATATAGTTCAAAGAGCTTATTAAAAGACCAAAAATTTATGCGACATATATCCGCAACATGAGTGTATGCAAGCTTCTGACCAGAGCTGTATGCTAGTTCTTTTTATACTTTCATCACATAAATCTGTGAATAGAATAAAAATTATAACCTTGATATTGGACAAGTAAAATCCAAAAACAGATTCAACACGCGTTATTTGTGCGTGTTTATGTCTTACAGGCTGAATGACTCCTGCGTCCCTCTGGCGACAGCTGTGTGGTCGGGGTGCTCAGCCAGCAGTTGGTCTCTGTGTCGAACACTTTGATCTTGTTGCAGTAGATCTCGTTGTTGGAGTGGAAGGGGCCAAAGCGGTCTGCCCTCCCTCCAAACACAAACATTTTTGTCCCAATGATGGTGGCTGAGTGGAAGTCTCTCCATCGTGCCGGTGTGCCCTTGGAAAAAAAAAGAAAGAAAACAAACCTGGGTGAAGAAGGTGCTGAACACATTATCCAGACTTTTTATATTTACTGGGCATTGAAAAAGTATTTGTCTCAAGAAGTAATTTTGTTTTGGCAGCTCTACTCATATCAGCCACTGCTACTTCACATATTTAATGAACATGCAGAATGCGACTAAAATTCACCTTTTACTTCTCATAAATTTTATTTTCAGGTCAAAAAAATAGAGGAAGGGAAAAATTAGTTTGATCCCAACTTTTTAAAAAACAGGGGACCAGTTGCTTCACTTTTCAGACGTCTCTTAAAATAACATTATTTTGGTTTTTGTAAGCCATTCAGAAGTGAACATGCTGGTGAAGTCATACAGTTCTGCAAATATTGGTCTTAAATTCCTCAAGTGTGATGTAGGAGACTCATCAAGAGGCATCACAAACACTGCTGCTGCAAGGCTGGCACCAACGGGGAGTAAAAATAACCTTTTTATGTGTTTCATGTTTTATTTATAAGACATAAAATAAATGCCAAGATTGGCTGTGAAAAAAATAAAAAACTACGATTGCTTTGATGTTTGTGGAACGACAAAATATACACCGTTGTTAGAGGCAGCCTTATATTTAACAGTAAAAATTAAAAACCTGAGGTGTTCTTTATTGGGCAATATTATTTTAAATCTACAATTTTATGCACTTAAAAACTTGAGTTCAAATGCAGTTCACAAACCCATTCTCACACTGACAAAAAAAGGACAACAGCACCATCTAGTGGTGCCAACCACTTTCACTTTCACCTTACCAACTGCAAGGTGAAAACCTAAGTCTAAACCTCTTTTCAGACATCACTGTGTCGTAAAAGGAACAGAGTTTATTAGTATAATACAGCTCCCTGTTGTTGCGAAAGAATAAACATGCAAAAGCAAAACTGGCTCTGTTGTTAATGAATAGCGCTTTGGAAAACAAAGAAAAGTATTTGCTCCCTGCACATTCAGCTGGCCTGGAGCCATGCTAAAGCCTTTCACATGTCTGTATTTCCAGAATGTGTAGATGCTTTTTTTATTTTCTCTTTTCACCAGTTGTTATACAAAGACAGGAAGACAATAAAAGCCTTTTGAGAATTCATAATAATATGGCTCAGAAAAAAAAAAAAACTTTTAATTGTAAAAAGAATGTGAGGATAGGAGAAAAGCATTTATTTCACAATGACAGTAATTCTCTCTTGATATCAACATTATCTCAGCTAGAAGATAATATGAAAACATTGTTTACTGCGTGGTAAAAAACAAACAAACAAACAAACAAAAAAAAAACATTCTATCCGCTTTAAAAATAAAGACCAGTTGATGATTTGGACTTACTCTGGCATTAATTAGCGACCAAACCATGGTGGTGGTATCCAGCCGGTGAATGTCATTAGAGAAGCAATCAGCCTGAAACACCAAGAGGAAAATAACTTTACATATTTATATTTCTGTAAAACGTAGGTAAAAAGTAAAGACTGACACACACTCACCAGCTGCTCGTATCCTCCAAATATGTACATGGCCTTTCCTAGCACACAGGCTGAGTGGCCATCCCTCGCCCCAGGAACTGCCCCTGAAATCTTGGGCGTGGACCACCTATGGGTATCTAAGAAGCGCAAACTGGTTAGAAACTGCTGACATTTAAATCATGTGCAACATCATAAAACCACTAGACACACATGCAGGTGTCACAGCTTTCCAACTTGACAAACGGTTTTGTCTGAGAGATCCTTGACATCAAACGTGCGCACCTGAGAGGAAACACAGCCGCTCGACAGCACGAGTGAGACGAGGGTGTACTTACTGACATCAAAGGCGTACAGCACGTTGCAGGCCCCCTCTGTGTCGTTACGCCCGCCCCAGAGGTAGATCGTATCATCCAGCAGCACAGCTGTGTGGCCGTAACGCATGTACGGCACTTCACGAGCCCGTTCGTGTCCCCCCATCCTCACTGGGGGCAACTTCATCCAGCGCAGAGACACTGTGATACACAAGTAGCCGACAACAGCTTCTTAAATTAAGAGAACAAGACTTATTACCATTCACTATATAACTGGTCAGTACAGATTAAATGATCAGACGTGTCCAAACTTTTTGGACCAAGGACCAAAATTCCCAAGTTGAAAGTTCTCAGGAGCCAAAATTAGCTTTTTCTCTCCAATTCAAGACTTTTAACAATAAATTAAACTAGTGTCCACTGGAACACAAACATTAGTATGACGTTTGCCTCAATTTTTATATTTTTTAAACTTTTCAAACCTATTATTTTTTTTATTTTTTTTTTATTTTGTTGGTCTATAAAATGTTTTTATAGTTTTTTAATGTCTTCATTTCCACCAGCAAAAAAACTTTGCCTTGTTTAACCAAGTATAATAAACCTGCCATGGAAATGTTTACAAAAAGTGTTCATTTCCAGAGGGCAACATCATTTCTACCACTTCTGAACTGCAGGCAGGACACAAAATTATTCCAACGGCCACAAACAGCCACTGAGTCGCACTTCGGACACCCCTAATCATTAGGCGAATTCCTCATCATAAAATAAATATTTAAAAAATGATACAGAAGTGAAAAGAAATATGATACCTGAAAAATACAAACCAGGGTGATTCAGACTGACAATCCAAATTTAACTGTATCTTAGAAGAAAAAAATAAATGCTATAAACAAGTGCTGCAATGAAAAGGAGGACAGAGAGGCCAAACGGTAATAATCAATATTTATGGTGCGTTATTTACAATCAGCTTCAGATCTAGTTCTAGATAAACTTTTTAGGATATTCCAACGGCAGGTAAGATCAAGCTACTTGAGCAACTGTTAAAGCAGCTGGCTGACCTCACGGAGGAAAAACCAATGGTATATGGGTCAGGAGGAAGCAACGGAACCAGCTTTATATGAGTTGGGGTGACAACTTTCAAGATAACAGCTGTGCTTGTGAGTTAGCAACTGAAAAACATCTGACGGGACCAAGTAAACTAACCACAATGGAAATCCTGGAGTCTAACTGTTAGCTACAGTTAAAGTGGTGGAGCTTAGTCATAAGGGGAGGTTTCTGTCAGACCTCTCCTGTGGTTTAAAGCCCGTTTACTACGAGGCTGTGACTGGGGTGACTGGCGTTTATATGGAGAACAGTAATGTGCATCTACACTTTTCACCCACAAGGTCAATGTGGGTCATGAAAAAGATACTGCATGCAGCATGAATGGCTACCAGAGTGGATAGGATGAGAAATAACCCAGCTGTTTTATTCTATAAACAGCTAAAAAATGTATTATATTTTGTGTAAATAACCACACATAGAGCTCCGGTTGGTTACAGAAGATGATTGCCCTTACAAATCTGGAGGTTTCTTTCAATTAAAAGGGTGTTGTTCCTTTCCACTGTTTTACCAGATGACATAATAAAGTTGATTTGAATCTACTGTGCAGTATACTACTTATGTAACTGGATCTGCATTAGTTTATAATTGAAGTGTCTTGATTATACATTTCTGTATATTAATTTGATCTGTTTGTCTTGCAAAGTGGCAAAGGTAACATTTGCAGTGAATTGGAGCCATAGAAAACAAATTACTAAATCCAGCAGGTGGTGTTTCATATTTTATCTATGCTCATCAATGTAATATTTAACATATTTATAATAATCGGTTTGTTTATTTTAAAGCGACATGAATTACTGATGCTTTTGATTTTAAAGAACTGTTTTTATATCACATGATTTTGCAAAATGAATTTTTGTAGAAATCCTGACACTATGAAACTATCGCATTTTTATTCAAGGTAATTTTGCCTTGAGAGCCTCAACCCAACCAATTCCCAGACAGCAGCCGCAATAATTCCTACATTACTTTATACTTTTATGACTAAAGTTTTTATCTCCTGACATTATGACATCATACTAAGATTCCCATGCTTGGGCAAGTGCTTAAGATATTAAAACTACTTATTTTCTTTAATTTACAAAAAGTTAAACAACTGAGCCTCTAAACAGCCACACTTACCACCTACAACAAAATACAGTTCCACACACTTAAATTTAAAACAAAATTGAAATAATTTCAGATAAACAAAAACCACATTCACTGCCCACCTGAGTTGAAGACATGCACATCGATCTGACGCAGCGTCTCGTAGTCCTCCCCGGAGCAGTAGCCCCCAAAGGAGTAGACCTTGTGCCCCACCGCCACAGCAGCATGGTTGACTCTCCGTGGCCCTCCTTCTAGATGCACCGACCAGCGCAACATTCCAGGCGCAAGCACCTCTTGTGACTGCGAGTCTTTAGACCATCACTTTGTTACCTGCTTGGACCCCGACAAGTCCATACCATTGATTCCTGTAACCAAAACAGCGAGATCTTCACAGTTACTCTGTCTGCAAGATACAACAAAGGAAAGCCCAAAGTGTAACCGAGCTCTGAAGTTGCTGACAGCCTCACAAGCCCCTGTTTCTAAGCTGGGAGAGTATTTTAAGAGGTGATTAGACCTACACCTACCAGTCCTCATTCTTTCTGTTCACTCCCCCTCTCAGGGACCTCCCACTGGTCCCAAATACACTTTCCAGTATGTCATAAATTCATAAACTCAAGCTTTAAGTGGAGTACCTTATCAATAAATAAGTTGTATTTCCACAGATGTGCATGAAATAAGCAGTAGCTGTTCAAATAGAGTTCAAATACTGCTTATAGCTATTATCAAGCAATTAATAGCATTTGTAAACTGTAAACTGGTTGTTTAAGTAGTTGGCTTTGCATGATTATCCACCCATGAAATGCAAGATTTAGTTTCATGCCTAAAATTTACAAAGAACAACAGTTACCTGAAAATATTTTCAATTGCTAATTTTGTGTGTGAGGAGCAGAAATTGTCATGAGAAATGAAGAACCATTTATAATAATATTAAATGTTAGCATGATTCCCAATAAGAAACTGTGCCATCTGATACACAAGTAGACGCTGTACTTCCTGGTTATTTATTATGTCTCTATGCCCCAGTTACTCACTGACCTTCAACCTTTTGTCTGCTCTTAAAAATAAAATCCCCAGATGATTATTAAACATAGATGTCTATTTTGATCCCACATAACTTTTGAGGTGTAACAAGAGTCAATCCCGAGTTTAGGAGGAAATCAGTGTCAGTTTAACTCATTGCTTCGTTCATCACTCCATCACTGTTTTGTAACAAGCCGTAAACAAACTGCCACGTATGTTCGGGACAACATGAGTCAAGATGACAACTTATGTAAAGCTGAAAGCGGCTGTTCCCGTAGACTGATCTGAATATATCACATCCATCCATCCATCCATCCATCCATCTTCTTCCGCTTATCCGGGATCGGGTCGCGGGGGCAGCAGCTTCAGAAGGGCGGCCCAGACTTCACTCTCCCCAGCCACTTCTTCCAGCTCCTCCGGGGGAACCCCAAGGCGTTCCCAGGCCAGCCGAGAGACATCGTCCCTCAGTGTGTCCTGGGTCTTCCTCGGGGCCTCCTCCCGGTGGGACGTGCCCGGAACACCTCACCAGGGAGGCATCCTGACCAGATGCCCGAGCCACCTCAACTGGCTCCTCTCGACGTGGAGGAGAGCAGCAGCTCTACTCTGAGTCCCTCCCGGATGACCGAGCTTCTCACCCAATCTCTAAGGGAGAGCCCAGCCACCCTGCGGAGGAAACCCATTTTGGCCGCTTGTATCCGGGACCTCGTTCTTTCGGTCATGACCCAAAGCTCATGACCATAGATGAGGGTAGGGATGTAGATCGACCGGTAAATCGAGAGCTTCGCTTTTTGACTCAGCTCTCTCTTCACCACGACGGACCGGTACAGCGCCCGCTTCACAGCAGACGCTGCCCCAATCCGCCTGTCGATCTCCCGCTCCTTTCTTCCCTCATTCGTGAACAAGATATATCACAAAGAAACAAATAACATCTCGATTGTACTACGTGCATATTATCTCGTGTGCCCAATACCGACTTTGACAACAATAGTTGGGCAGCTTTTAACACCCTGACCTACTGATCTGGAAAACACTGATATCGGATGAGTTGCAATGGCACTGACAGCTGCCAAATCAGTCTCAATGAGTAATAAATGCAAGTCATACCACTGAATTAATCGCGCTTGATCAGGTGTACTAAACAACACTCCAATGATTAACCTATATCCAGTTACAGTGAGGTCTTTCAGATAAAGCAAAGATAACGACTCACACAACAGCTACCGAGGCTGGCTAACGTTATCAGTTAATGATTAACACAAGCTATTGAAGATAAAAAATAAAAAAATAAAATAAAAAAACAGCGGCTAAACGCCAAGTTCAACTCTTTTTTTAATATGCCCACGTTCACAACGTCCCCAGCGTAGCTTTTTAATAGCCTCAGAAAGCAGCAGTTTGATACCCAGCTGTTGAAAAGCTAAGCTAAAGCTAATCAACTGAAGCTAACTGCCTGACTTAGCTGTTAGCTAGCGACCACTAATGCACAAAAACAACCAACAGCGACTGCCTTTATTTCTTGCACTTGCAAAGGTCACAAATGGCTTATTTGAGAGAAGGTGAAACAGGTATGGAGTTTATCTACCTTTGGGTTGAGGAGCTTGTCGTTAACTGGTGTTTATACAGGCAGAACCATCCAGTAAGAAGAGCCCTCACCGTGATGTCATGAAAGTGGAAGCGGGTGACTGTTAGCGCCATCTGTCGGAGGTGTGGAGCTTTGCATGTTGAGGAAGCCATGTTTTCCAATTTCTCAGCCACAATCCTCTCTCACTGGTGTCAAACGCCAGTCTTCAAGGACCGCTGTCCTGCAACTTTTAGCAAGGTTCTGGAGAACTTATCTGCATAAGGAGGAGGTAATTAAGCCAAAACATTCCAGCGTTTTGTACTTGTGGCACATCTAAAACATGCAGGACAGTGGCCCTTGAGGACTGGAGTTTGACACCACATGTAGTATGTAAGTGAAATAATGTCACGACGACATGTGGATGTCTGTCAAGTCCACATGTTTTTCTACAAATTCCTGACATTACTTAGGCTTAGGGGAAAGTTTTAAGCAGCTTGACTAGCTGAACTTGTTATGTTTCTGCCAAAAACATAGTTACTTTAAATCAGTATCAGAATGAAGGACATGCAAAGTAAAACCACAGATTTCCAAGTTAATAAAATAGGTAAATCAGTCAAATATATTTTAAACACAGCAAATGATAAAGAAATATCTGCATTTATATTCATTTTAGACTTTAAATGCCAAATTTTAAACTCAATTTAACCTATTTTTTCACAGCCTGGCTTTCAGTCAAACTAAACTAAACATTAAATCAGCCTAAGCTTTTTTTTTAGATCGGAAAAAACCATAAATACCAGTTAAATCCTAAATGATTTGAGTGGTAACTGAGTCACATTTGTTGGCTGCCCTATTCGCCCACCCTCAGAAATGTTCAGTGGGACGGAGATCAGAACTTTATGGGCCCTCCAAAATATTTACTACTTTCTCCTCAAGTCACTTTGCAACTAATTATGTGGTATATTTAGGATCACTGGCAAACTGAGATATTGCTTCAGTAGTTCCACATTATGTTCTTTCCTCATGACACCATTTATTCTGTGACGAGCAGCTGTGGGCTGAGCCTTCAGCTTTCCCATCATCATCCTCACAAAATGAGCAAAGATCGAATACGACTGCTGCTGATTTTACTTTTCTTCCATCCATTGTTTCAACAGCTGTCATCTTCTCTTCTTTGCTGTGTCTATTTTATTGCATTTTCCATCACTTGTCGTGATAAATTTCATGTCATGATAATTTTTTCATTGTGTCACAACAAATTCCAATTAATGATGTTAGTTTTGCTATTTTTTCTGCTGTTCAATATGAAATTATCAGTAAATATCAATATATTTGAAAGTGTAATTTAATGCAGTTACTGTGAGCAGTTTAGTGATACAAAATAAAACATGTCTTCATGGTCTAACAAAATTACTGTAATTATTTTATAAGAGGAAATAAACATTGATTACTGGAAAAATAATAGTTCCCATTTTGATTCAGAGTCATGTAGCTACTGTTTGAGTCTTCTCAGTTGAGTTTTGCAAGCTTTGCTGAATAGAAAGGAAGTTAATGTTGTGAAAGAGAGGTTTAGTAAGAAGGCCAACCAGTAGAACAAGAAATTCTAGGAAAGGAAGTCAGCCATAAAATCCATGTCCTGTCCAAATCACATGTTGGAGGCGCTTAGCATAGGAGGGACCTTTATCATGGAAATAATTGCTGCAGGACGTTTAGGACAGGAGTTCTTATATAAAAAAGGTAATAAATAAATGATAACAAATGAGCTTCCTTTTCATATCTCTTGCATAGCTGTGAAAAACGACTATGCATCTCCTCAAAAGCTCAAAATAATGAAAAAGAAAAGCATGTATGCTTTATGCTGTATGCTCTACTATAGGGCCTCCATTAGCAAGTTGCTCTGTTAGCTGCCTTCCGTTTGTCTGTATTGTTGGCTCTGATGTCCCTTAACTTCCTCTTGGCGACACTCCACAATTTTCGTTGGTGGTTTAGGGCTAGTAATTTTGCTGGTCTATCAAACACAGTGATATCATGGTCAATAAACCAAGCACTGGGATTTTTGGCAATGTGGGTAGGTGCTAATGGGCCGCTGAAAAGCAACCCAGTTTGTTTTCTTCCCAGTCCATGGAGATTATTCTGAAATGTTTTTTTTCCTTCTCAGTCCTCTTTTGCCTTTGGTTATCCCTGGTGTATGAACCCCTGTTTTCCTTCCACTTAGCTTTTAATTAATATTCTTGCATTCAACACTCTTTGAATACATGGTGTTTTTAGCAAGAATCTTCTGAGGGGTCTCAGTGACTCACTGTTGGCCTAAACAAACTTCCCCATGCTTATATAAGCCATGATATAACTTTTCTGGGTAGAAAATCAAAATGTAATTGTCTTATGTAATAATGTGGTTTTCTTGAAACCTTATTTTTGTGTCTTATTAGCTCTAACTCATACTCATCGAAATTAACAGAAACAAATGCACATGGTTTCCTTTGTTAAATAAAATTACTAAAATAAATAAACTTCTCAATAATATCCTGATTTACTCAGATGTAGGTAGATAAAACCTACATCGTCCTCATTTATGGATATTCCAGATGAATAGTAACACAGCTCTAGCAGCAGAGGGCAGTGTGGGTATGCTGAAGTTAGCAGGCTGTCAGAAAACTGAACACATTGATGATACATGGAAGTATCTCATTTTGAATCGTTGCGATAATGTAACCAAAGGATGTCGTAACAGGAGCTGATGACGGAATATTTAATAATCTGAGAGTTGGCAGATTACTGGGAGCGTATTATGGAAACATAATAAAACCATGCAGAAGATCTCTGTGCATTGGAAAATACTGATACTGTTGCCACACCTCTTTATATATTTAACCACTAACTTATTATACATTTAAGTTATCATGTTGGAAATATTTTAGAAAATGTTTTGATGTTTACTTTATCAAACTTCTGGATTTTGCACATGTTGCCTTTAAGATAATAATGTTACAAGAATGAAAACCATAAAGGTTGAGGCATTTTTTTTTCTTTTTTTTTTGTGGGGCTTATTTCAAATGTATTGGACACAGATGAAAAGGAAACTGTCAGAATTTGAGGTTTTTCAACACGCGAAGCCATATCTTGTAAATTTTACTACAAACTCTCAGTCTGCTAAATATGACGTGCCTATCCAGACTCTGACATATAGAGTTGGATTTAGTGGAGTCAGCTTGATTATGAATATTCAGCCTGGCATGAAACTATAAACCTCTAAAAAAATGGATTATGTCACCAGGGATCTATCTGCATTACAGCTGTTATAGATCTGTCTGTGCCACTGCCCACGTCTGGTATACTAAGCAGGAACTTTGATTGATTCATTGTTTGTCAGGATTCCAGACTCATGCCAGCTGCAGGTCATGCACAATGGCGAGATTGTGCCTTTAGCTGACCAAACAACAGCTGCCTGGAGCTGCTGCTTGGGGCCCTGATGGGTCAGACAGATGGAATGTAATGTATAGTGAATCAAACCAAGAATATTTTTTCATAAGCCAGAGTCGTAATTAAGCCTACCCATTGAAATTTGTAGATGCCAAGTTGTGAGGATTAAACGATTACGGTATGGTCTTATGAAAAGCTGCTCAATTTACAGTTATAGATAGATAGATGGATTTGAGGTGTGGTGAAAATGCATTGTTGGAGATGTCAGAGGTCAAATGAGGCCAGAGTGGATTGAAATGACAGCTCTGCAACACTAGCTTGAATATTCACTCATAATCAAAGTAAGGAACACCATATGTGAATGCATAACATGTAGATGGGCAACAGCAGCAGAAAGCCACACCAGGTGCCACTCTGTCAGCAAAGAAGCAACTAATGCTACAATCCACAGAGGACCACCAAAGTTGGACAACAGTTTGTTTAATGAGTCTTCATTTCAGCTGTCACAATCAAATGGTGTGGTCAAAACCTGGAGGTAACAACATGAAAGCATGGCTTCATCCTGCCCCGTATCAACGGCGTACGCTGCTGGTGGTGGTATGTTGACAAGGGGTGTTTTCTTGGCAGGCCTGTTGGTACCAACTGAACATTGTTTACATACCACCACAGAGCAGTGTTCCCCAACCCTGGTCCTCAAGGCACACTGCATGTTTAAGATGTCTCCCTGCTTTGCCACGTGATTCAGATGATTGCAGTTCAGCTAAATGTCTGTTAAGCAGCCATCGATTGAATCAGGTTTGCTGAATCAGGGAAACACCTAAAACATGCAGGGCAGCTAGGAAATGCTGTCCTGGAGTGTTGTTGCTGACCAGGTCCTTCTCTTTATAATCACAGCATATCCATCTACTGATGACTGCTTCCGCCAGTGTGATGTACCACCTCTACAGTCACTTCAGTCTGGTTTCTGGGAGATGACAATGATGGCCTTCACAGTCACCTAATCTCAATTCAAAGGCAGTAAATCAAAGCAGTTCTGAAGACAAAATGAGGTAGAACCTGGTTCTAACAACACATAATAAAGTGAGTGCTCATCTTAACTGTACCTTTATTATTCAAATTATGTTTGTAATTTGTTTTTCTTGCAAAAGACCTCTGGAAAAATCAAAATTGAATAATTAGCAGTTTTAATTTTATTCTATTTTAACAACTATTTTGTATGGAAGCTGAGAGCAGACATTTTCAGGATCTAGTACTTTATTATGGTTTTCTCAAGATAATAAGTTAATGTTGAGAATTTTGTTTTCTCAAGATTACAAGATGATTGATGTGTGTGTTTAACCTGACTCCATGCTGACACAAGGGCCTGCATTTGAAGGATGGAATCAGATTTATCACACACACACCAGTCATATCGTGATCTCAAGAAAACCATTGGGAAAAAAGTAGATATGGAAAACGTTCACTCTCCGATTCAATAATTTTGAGGGTTTTTTCGTTAATATCTTTGGAGTTTCTAATCACTTTCTCTGGTCATCTTTAGTGAAAGTTTATACTTTTTGACCTACGCCTCAAAAGTTACTCCTGCTGTCTCACCTGTCAGCATTTGCACATATTGCGTCATCGCCCTGCTGAGCCGCCCTTTGACACATTAGTTGTTGATGTGTTTTGTTAACTTTATAGCTGGCACATGCGGTGTCAGCTTTGACAAAGAGA